ATCTAATTCTAGGATGACCTGAGGGAGAACAAGTTTAATTTTTAGGTGAACTATTCCTTTAATGCAAACTTATTCAGAAGTTCACATGGACTTCATCTATTGGGCTTCCACAGTCTTTCTCCAACTCATTTGGCTGACACTTTTATTCAAAGTGACATACAGTGTGTTTCCTGGGAATCAAACCTTTGACCTTTATGGTTGCTAGCACCATGAATACCAGATGAGCTACATAAACACTTGTTTTCAACCCAGTGCATTAATAATGGTTTGTTTGTCCTCTTTTACACTGCCGACCTGATTAAAACTAGCTTATTCCCAAATCTATTTGCCCAGAAAACTTCACTTCTGCACTCACAGTATCTGCCAACAGTTTTTCATTTTGTCTGTTCATGATTGGATTTGGCAGAGGGTTCTGATCCAAGTTCAGCACATTTTACACAATTACATTACCGTTCAAAAGTTTGGGGTCAGTACGTTTTTATTATTATATTTTTATTCAGAAAGGATCTAGAAAATTGATCAAAAGTGACAGTAAAATGTGTTTATTTGAAATTAATGCTGTTCTTTTAAATTTTCTACTCATCGAAATATCCGGAAACAAAGCATCACGGTTTTCACAAAATAAATACTGTTTTCAATATTGATAATAATAAATGTTTCTTGAGCAGCAAATCAGCATATGTGACCCTGGACCACAAAACCAGTCTTAAGTCGCTGGGGTATATTTGTAGCAATAGCCAAAAATACATTGTATGGGTCAAAATTATAGATTTTTCTTTTATGCCAAAAACCATAGGATATTAAGTAAAGATCATGTTCCATGAAGATATTTTGTAAATGTCCTACCGTAAATATATTAAAACTGCATTGCTAAGAACCTAATTTGGACAACTTTAAAGACGATTTTCTCAGTATTTAGTTTTTTTTGCACCCTCAGATTCCAGCTTTTTAAATAATTGTATCTCGGCCAAATATAGTCCTATCCTAACAAACCATACATCAATGGAAAGCTTATTTATTCAGCTTTCAGATGATGTATAAATCTCAATTTCGAAAAATTGACCCTTATGACTGGTTTTGTGGTCCAGGGTCACATATTAGAATGATTTCTGGTGGATCATGTGACACTGAAGACTGGAGTAATGATGCTGAAAATTCAACTTTGCATCACAGGAATAAATTATGTTTTATTATATATATTAAAATAGAAAACAATCATTAACAAGTCATTTAACAATATTACTGGTTTTACTGTATTATTGATCAAATAAATGTAGCCTTGGTGAGCATAAGAGACTTATCTTACAAATCTTAAAAATCTTACTGACCCCAAACTTTACACGACTAAGGCCAGGCCTGGTTCAGTCCCACGGCTCTTAAAATGCATGAAGTGGGACGTCCCAGAAGTCCATTTATTCCCTATCACCACATGAAGTTCCACTGGCAGTCGGAGGTCTTTGGTGTGCCTGAAATGGGAAGAAAGTTTATTGCGTTGTTACTCTAGGGATTCGTGTTGTTTGTATTTGTTTTTGGGAAGGTGACAAATATGTTCCTGGACTAAAGGATCCTGATTAAAATTCCCCTGTTCGCTGAGCATAAAGCAGCCAAGTGGCTCTTTCTCAAGGGCACTGACAGATCTACACTCTTCAGCTGAATTTTCTGGAACCAGACTGTGAATCTCAACAAGACTGAATTTTTCTGACCTTTGACCTCTAGCTACGATAAATAATCCATTGATGTTTGTAGCAGTATATTGAGCTTGACCAACATTTATGCAATGACAAAAATGGCCTATCATGCAGTTTGTTTTTGTTTGGTCTGTGTGTGAATGGTTGAGAGGGTGCCCTGCTCTGCTGCGGCCCACCCGGACAGATAGACGCACTCCCTCACTTCATATCTGACTCGCTCCCTTGATAACTGGAATTTATGTGCTGAATTAATGCAATTAATTATGTGGCCCTGCATTCCTGTGGGAGGAGAGGGACAGTGAGGGTCGACAAAGTGGATCTGCTCAGTGCTGGCATTGTACAGCATGACCTTAGATGAGCTTGACATTTTGATGCACGAAGATTCAACTCAATCCTGGAATAAACTTCACTATGCATTGCAGTTATTTTAAGTACTGTACCTCACTTAGTATTTTAAATGTTTATGTACTTCACTAAGAATGGATTGCAACCACTGATGCATGCACTATCTGCATTTTTTGGCATGCATTTTAGCCTTTTACACAAATGTTCATATTCTGTAAGTATCTAACATCCAGAAGATGATCAAAAATAACTGTCTTTTTATACCCTGAAATTGAGTGTTATTTTAGTTCTAATCATCTACTATTTCATATTTTGAATTAAGTTTAACTTTTATATTTTCTGTTTTCATTTTAATTTTAGTTTAGGTTTTAAGCATTTTAGTAAAAGGTATCTTTAAGTTTTATATCAGTTTTAGTACTTTAACTTTATTTATTTATTGAATCATTCATTCATTTTCCATCTAATATTTTATAATCAGATTACAAGTCTTTAGTAGTTAGTTTTAGTCAGTTAACAATAACAACACTGCTAAAGAATTCCAACACTGCTTGAATTTATTTTGAATTACATATTATTATACATTATTTTGTGTTTTAGGGTGTTTTAGGAAATGTCAACTTGTGTTTTATAAGAAAATTTTCAGTTATTCCACAATTTTTTTCTTACAGTGTATGGCATCTACTTTAACCTTCTTAAAGTCAGCTGTGTTCTACTTCAACTGCAAGAGATGTTGCTATGAATGATAAATTATTTAATCCATTTCTTTTTATTCCTACAGTTTCATTCATACATTTTTATTACTCCAAAAGGAAGATGTATTTTCTCCGAGAGAGCAAAACAATCACTGAAATATTACGTGCTTCAGTATTACTCCAGTAATTATTACTGAAGCCAAAGCAAAGATATTTGTAAATAAAAATCACTCTAATATTTGGCAACCATAAAAGGTCACATACTGAAAGATACCCCTAAGAGAGAGAGGATGAGAAGGCATGTTCCTCTCTGCTAGTGCACTCGTTTTCCTCCAAGCACACTTCAGCGAAGTTGCTATAAAGTTTGTTATTATTATTATTGCTGCAAAAGTATGATGTACAGGCACTTAGCGTCCATCTTTGCAAGAGTTAAAGCACTAAGAGCAGATAAATCTCACGTATGCTAACAGAGAGATGAGTTTGCACCCTCCCTCTTCATGATTTAGCCTCCATTAGCCTGCTAGCATAACAGACACACACAGGTTGTCCACAAACCCACAGCACTGTTCAATGGCAATAAGGCCACGTTCTGGATAGTGTCATGCTCTGCCCAGACCTGTTGATGTTAAAAATGTGTGTGAAATTCAAAGAATTGATGAAAGGAATTGAAGAAAATCATGCTAACAGCTAAGAAAAAGTGTGTGTGAAGCAAAACTTATATCAAAATACATGCAGTACAAAATATGCACTTTTTATATAACACATTCTATTTAAATGCTAAAGATATTTAAATTATAATGACAAATTTCAGTAACTTTTGGTCTGTTTGAGCTTTCATATGGTTTCATAAGACTTGAAATATATTTTACAGTCACATGGCACTTGTTGGAGGAGAATGTCCAAGATTTGTATGATTAAAAACATGAATTAGACTCTAAATTAGAGGTGAGAACCGGAACAAATCTCAGGAAACATATTGTTTTTCAATGCAGACAAACTCTCTTTAGTGTTGAGAGTTGAAAAAGCAAACTAGATACTTTGAGATTTAAATGATCACATTTTTAAACTGGTTTCAGGGAATGTGGATGAAAGACTTCTAAATAAGACCTCCCAGCTGAAAAAACAATAGAACCATCATAGAAAATTCTAATAGTTTCCACTACAAATACCATTACAAATATTACACACCATCAATTTTAACCATTAAAAATGGTTTTCTGTAGCGTGTTTTGGGACATATTCCATTAGGATTTATTGGTTTTAAAAAGCCACCAATAGAAGGTGACCAATTACCAGTAGAGACCCACAGGGTCCATTGCAGTTTCCAGTAAAACCAATACAAGTCCCATAATAACCAGTAAAACCATTACCATTTTTGTGATGATGTCTATTGCTTTTTTCAGCAGGGCTGTACAGTCAGACACAGCTCAAACCGTTTAATCAAGCATGTACAAATATTTTCATACACATAAACGCATGAGCACATGCCACAAGGCCTTAAATAAGATAACAGGAAGACAAATTGGGACCTTTATAACTAATATAAAATGCTCTGGAAATGTTGTGAAAACACATGGTAGGTTTTTTTATAGCTGCCTTTTACTAATCAGTAATGTATTTTATGATAAAAAAAAAAGTTTTTGCCAAGCATTGTTTTTAGGCTTTAAGTCTTCTATAAGAAATATTTTGATGTGTGTGGGGGACCTATAGTTTAACTAGAATTGAAAATAAATGAACAAACAAACAAATAAATAAATAAATAAACCATGTTAATCATATCAGAACATTTATAAAATATGATTTCAAAAACCCTTTGACATCTATCATATTGAAAACATACAACATTTCTACAACTAAAATCATGCATTGTTACACAGTCAATGTTCTGGGAGCCTGTTGATCGATTTAATAAATAAGCGTTTTATCTATTGATTAGAATATTAATACTGAATTTTCATTTGTTAGTATTTCTTTTTATCCAAATGTTGAATGTTTGGACACAAGTCAGCAAGCCTTGGGTAGCATGGGAATGACTATAAATGTTATAAACTATAAACCACTAAAGATAAACTGAAACTTTTTCATCAAACATCCCGCCAAGTTTCTCTCACTACTACTAATAGTACAGTCAATGTTTTTCTTCTTTACAAATAATGATCATTTAAATGAGAATTCAGGGACTTTCAGGTGAGAGTGTGGTTGTATACATCAGTCCCACTAGTGAATGGGTCTTCCATGAGCAGACCACTAAAGGTCAGAGGTCAGCTGGGCAGGATTACTGAGCTAAACAGATTATATGAAAATTTAGATTTTTTAGAAAGCTGTTGGACAATAGGCCTGTTGATTATTAGGATTACAAACAGAGAGGCAATATTTTTTCCCCCTTGGTTTCTGAAGTAGGATCCCAAGTTGTTGCTTTGGTTAAAATCATATTCAGTGTTTTTTGAAAGCTAAATGTGCCTTGCTGTTGTCCCTTCAACCAAATACTAACCAGAACAGTTTAACTTCATCATGAGCTTTGACCTGGTCACTTCTTAGAGAGTGACACTGCGGCGTGTTTGGACAGCTTTGTATTGATGTCGTCAGATGTGGCAGGCGTGACATGTGAGCACACACGCATGTTTTGCACAAATGAACCTTTAGCTCTGAAATGTTTAGCGAACAGGAAATTAAAGTTCTGCTTTTGTGTGATATGCAGATAGCACAACTGTAAATAGGTCTGTTTGGCTATGCATGCTGCAAAGCATGTGCATGTTTTGTTCTCATCATCATGCAGAAGTGTAGTTTAGTGGGATACTTTGGTGCTTTTATGTATCCAAGGTTCTCAGCAGGGCCGTGCAGAGACCTTTGGAGGGGCAGGTGCTCAAAGTATAAAAGGGGCACATGGAGCACGGCTTTTAATAGGGCTGTGCTCCTTGCTGAGACATGTATCGAAACGGATGCTTCTGTGTTGATAGCAGCAAATGCCGTGACGCAGTTTTAAAAAAGAAACAGAGAACAGAAAAGTCCATTTTAAGTTTAAAAGTTAAATAAATATTTATTTGCACCTCTTAATCACTCTGAAAATAGAAACGGAATTAAATTAGGCCTATTATTATTATTGAGTTTACAGGGTATGGTGGCTTTGCTGTTGTAAACACTACTGTTGTTGTGGAAACACATATTTCTGTCTTATTTAAAATAGAATTATATTATAATCCTGTTCTGAATTTATTCATTTTTAAAATTATAATGATGATAAAAACAGGATTGATAAGTAGCCTATAAATCGGAGGATGAGAAAATCAGTATAAGCCTGTTTTATCAGGGTTGTGATAATTATTTTTAAGGCTTTTAAAATAAATACTGTAATAAAAAAAAGTTCAAAGGAATCGTTTTTTAGTCATTTAAACATATACACGTAGATAACATAAAGACAAGACTCGACGCCCTTTAAACTTTTCCCAATCAAACAGCAAGAACGAAAGAGAACAGGTAACTTTGTTTATATTGCTGTGTAGAACTTTAGCTGCATTTTTAATATTTAATTTTAAAGAAATGTAATTTCGTCCCCCGCACTTTATTCGGGCAGGTGTGTTCACGTAGAGGTTTCTAGATTTAAATTCAAACAGACAGTTTCGATAGTCTATGCATGACCTGGCGTTTTATTCGTATCCAAAATGAGGAGAAGTGAATAGCTGGAGCGCTCAACACTCTCATGCAGTGTTTGTTTAATTCATACTCGAAGCCGGAGGGCGCTCTCGTGCAGAAAGTCCAAAACAGACTCATAGAATGAATGACTTATGACGTGCAGGAAAGCCTAACATGAACAAAAGCATCCGGCTATCGCTGTAGCTGAGCTGAATAAAAAGCAGAAAAAACCATGAAGACAATAAACACACGATTGCGAAAATATACGGGTTATGTGTGTTTTTCAAATTATCTCCAGGTAATAAATAAACAATACTGATTGACATATCATTTAGTAGCCTATAGAAACTATACATTTCCTGCCTTATTCTGTGATAAAAATGGGGAAAAGGTGCTGGTAGTAGCCTTTATAAACCGATCATAAAATTGTCATTAGGAAAATATTGAACAAAAGTATTATAGCCCCTTGCTGCAGCTAACCTTACTTCCACAGGCTACACACAGCAATATAAACAACAGCTGTGCATGCTCTCTTCACGCAGTTCTTGTATAATAATAATAATTTAATAATATAAGTTTGCAAGCACACCGCTCCGCTGAGAACTGCACTTACTGGCAGCCACGGACGTTATGAACTAAGGCATCCTGGTAGTGCGCTACATTAAAGGTGTCTGAACGTGAGGGATATAGCCCCTGATGAGATCGTCAGGTGAAAGGTCATCATCATGTGGATAATTACAACTAAATTATTATTCATTCATTTTACTAATAGTTAGATTGGGCAGGCCTTCACAAAATGCGTTTAATTACAAAAAAATATATAAAAATTGCCTTGACATAAGGGCACTTTGGGCATCAAGGGGAAAAGGGGCAGGTGCTCAAGCACCCATCGCACCCCCCTCTGCACGTGCTTGGTTCTCAGTGCATGTTGTCATAGTTTTGTACATTTCTGTAGTGATGAATGAAATACAGAATGTATTGACTTAAGACATTTTGAATTTAATGAACGAACACGTTTAATTGGATAAGTACTTAGGATAATTTAGTAATTTTTGTTTTCATAATTAATTCCCATGCTTCTATCTCTGTTATTTCACACTTTTGAGGATTTTATTATTATTTAAAAACATGACAAATAGTATTTGCAAAGAATAATATTGACTGGGGTTTCTCATTTTACTTTTAACATCCTCCAGGCCTAAAAATAAGGATTGTTTTGTATTTAAGGTAGCTTTTATAAACCACTGAAGGTATTTGAAGCTCTGTTATTGCAGTACTCCTATGGAGACCTCAAGGTTGATTTATTGCTCATTAATGTTAGTTAATGCATTAACAGATGTTAACTAATGGAACTCAGTCTACCCAAATACAACTTATATATCAAAATGAATCATTTTCTTTTCTTTAACTGAATTAAGTAATGATTTAGTAATTAATTTCTACTTTAAATTACAAGGACAAAATGAGCAATGAATTTTTTAAAACACCATTTTAATAGGATATGATCAGAAGCACACATCTGAAATCAAGGCGTTACCTGGCTTAATTTTGAACACTACTGGTTGCGACCATTCTGATGGCTCAATGACATAAGTATCGTCAGGTTCAGGTAGTAATCTGATCTGGGCCTGGTATTCAGTTGAAGGATGTAGATTCGTAAAGTAAAGGTCAAAATTGCTCTCCCCTTCAGAAAGTGTAAAAATTTCTGAGGTCTACAAAGAGAAAGTGAAATCATGCATGTGATCAGTCACAGCTACAATGAATCATTTAGTAAATGCAACACAGATGCTGAAAGATAACTAACGCACCTTGTTGGTCGAGAATTTTAGCTGGATGGAGAACTGAATATCTGTGGAAACAACTGGTTTAGACCAGTTCAGTATGAAAACGCCATCGCCTTCCTTCACATGGATCTGGTCAGGTTGTGAAAGTTTAACTTGAAGAGAAGAATGAACATTAGTGCTCCTCCTAAACTCCAGATGGCAGCGCTGGCATGCAAGACTCTGCTAAAAATAAAAATTTTTAAAAACTCACTGTGTTTTGAAGTACGGAACGTCCTAGCGTAGTACACTTGTCTCAGCTCCACTGTTAACAGGTAAGGGTCCAGGGTTTTTACCAAACACATGAACTCAGAAAGCTCAACATCTCTCGACTTCAGCTGAGGATCTTCACAACAAACGGAGAGACTAAGGGAGAGAAGAGTTGTCAGTGTACAGGACGTGACATCACGCTTTAGATCAGTTGTTAGTCACGTGAGTTTGTGATGGATGGAGAACTCACTTATCACCATTACTGCACCAGAGATGATAAGACATAAACTGATAATGTTCTGTCTTCATTTGCCAGGTACAGGTCACATTTGTTTCTCCCGCTATCACGCACTGCAGGTTAAAGGCTCCATCTGCGAGAGGTCATGAACTTCAGATATTTGCAGTGTAAAAAGGAAATGCTTTTCTGTTTTAGACTATTAGCAAAATATAAGGAAAATTGATACCATTGTGAGTCTTCCAGGACACCAGGGGGCTCCAGTCACTCCAGAGTCCCACTGGACCTCGCGCCCTCACTCTGGCTTGATAACGGTAACCAGACAACAGTGACTCCTTGTCAATCATATACTCAGAAGCACTGGTGTTATCCACAATCTGTTCCAGTAAAAGAGAATGAGAAAACAGATTCATTCACAAACAAAGGAAGTGTGGCCGAAATTGTGTACTCTCTGAGTACTTCTCTTGACTAAGTAATTATGTAGTGACTGTTGAGAAATATATGCTCTAGGAATGTATGTAGTATGAATGTAATCTGCGTTCTACTTTGCTTTTAGACACACTCGCAAACTTCCCTACGCACTTCCCCTTAGGGGAATCCCCACTGCCATTTTAAAGTGTGTTCCACTTGGTTAAGGAGTGAAGTTTATATGGACAGATTCGACCAAGGGAGCGAGTCTACTTCATATGTACACTTCAGACAGCTCCATATAGCACTATGCAACACAATTTTGATGTCACTGCAGATCGCATTGGATTTACTCCCACCTCAAACAGCTCAATAATACACACATTTTTTTCATTTAAAACAGCCCCAGTACGCCCATATACATATAAAATGCTCAATCAAAAAAAAAAAAAGGGAGTAAATAAATCAACTCCATAGCTGATTCCAAGTAATCAAGGGCTCAGGATGTTCCACTCTGGCCCATTGCAAAGGTTGCATGGCACCCATGCAACATAATCACTGATATACAGTACATTCGAGTCAGAGGAAAGCTAGCTAGGGAAGGGCCTTAACAAAACTAAATGGAATGCAGTCTGGCCTGTCCCAACACCCACAGTTTCGATCTTTGCACTTGACCACTTGTCTACTTACATGACGTATTTCCTATATTTGGCCCAAGTGTTCAAGTGGGTGTGAAGACTGCAAGCCTGTGTAGAACTATTGATTATCCGATGGGAAACACTTACAACAATGTAAAAATGCAAGTTTTTACAGAGCTTTACTGACACATTCTGTGTTTATTTTCGCATACGGTGTTACTTAATTTAATACTTAAACTTTTCTGTTTCTGTTCAATAGACCCTATGAACGACACAATTTAATTGTGATGCTTCTTATTAAGTGATAAAAAAAAAAAAACTGTTGCAAATATTTTTTTCCCCTTTTTTCTTTGTCTGGGTACTTATTCTTTTATGAATACTGTGAATTCAGACAGACTTTACGAAAAGTTTTTCCGTGTACAGTATAGTAAGGAAGTATGCGATTTCGGATGCAGCCCTTGTTTATGAGAGTCATTAAATCATTCATTTAAAACTGATTCATTCACGAACAAAAAATCTGTTGACTGTCTATGTGAGCGAGTCATTGAATCATTCACTCAACTGATTCGTTCAAACAGAACTATTCTATCAAAATATTTCCTCAAAAGTGTAAATTACTACTCAATATTAATACCTTGTTTACAATTTCACATTCGCAGACATGCTATCAATGTTACTTTTAGTCAATTCATCACTCCGGAAGATGATTTGTGTGCATAAATATTACAAGAAGGTAGACACTTGTCTTGAATGTGTGTGACGCTTCCGGTGCCATCGACATTTCAGTTGACAGAAATATCGGTTTACAGTCTTATTCTCCTTGACACTGCAAACTAGTAATTGTTTTCCTATTCGTGTAATTTATTACCGTAATTTAGTATCATAATGAATCCTAAGTATCAGAAAATAACTTCCGCGTTACAAAATAATAAGATGCATATCAGTAACACACGGAGCAGCATTAATCGGTAAACAAACGATGCTCTGCCAAGTGCCAACCTGTCACCTATATAAATATAAAACACACTCAGCATTTACCTATGTAAATATCCAAATCTTGACAGTGGATCTGTCTCCAGTTTCAGAACGCTAGCATCACTCTTTCATGTGGAGGCTTTATCTTAGGTGGGAATCGTGTGAAGTCTGAGGTTGTGATGATGTGTCATTACAATGGCAGATTGTGGTGTTTGATATTACAGAGAGCTGCTTCAGCACAGACATTGTTCTAGACAGGATATCCACAAGATATCCTATTAGATAATATTTGAGTGTGTGAACTTTAATGCCATTCAGGAGTCTTGGAGTCTATACTGGCATTTTACTCATTTAAAACAATCGTTTCATTAAAAATATAAATATATACAATAGGATACACTGTCGTTCAAAAGTTTGTTTTGGAGTCGGCAAGATTTTGAATGTTTTTTTTTTTCTTTTTTGATTGAATAAATGACTGAAATCATTCTAATATGCTGATTTGGTGGAAAATGTATATGAAATCATGATACATTTTTCAGGATTCTTTGATGAATAAGACTATGTTTGTGTGGGTGTGTGTATGTATAGTTTTACTTTTTAAATATTAATAATATTTATAAAATATATATTTTATATATTAATCAGCACAACTTTAGTAAAACATTCAATTGAATTAAAGGTTGTTAAAATATCGAAACCTAAGGGTGCATATTTTAAGAATATATCAAATTAATAATATGCATTTGGGGTAGATGAAGCACGATTATTATTATTATTTGTTTTTTCTGACAGTGTACTCACAGTCCAGTCATGCATGTATCTGCGATACTGAAGCTGGTACACAAGAGTTCCTGTGATATTTGAGGATACAGGATATGGGCTTCTCCAGGACAGCAGACGACCTCCGCCATCAGCCACCCTCTCTGTCAAATCAATTGGGGCCTTAACTTTTCCTGAAATCACACACACACACACACACAACGGTGAAAGACTTTTCCATGCCAGAGATGCTTTAGAAGGTAAATGCACATGCACAAAATACACACTCACCGTGCTGAGCAACTCTGAGAGTTGTGGCTCTGTGCACACAGGGCACTTTGAAGTATAGAATGTGACTTGTATATAAGTTAAACCTCTCAGAGTTATAGCTGCACACGTGAGAGATCTTCCCATTGGATAAAAGCACACCAGATGCATTCGAGACGCAATGTGTATCTTCGCTACAGAGAGGGAGGAAAAAAAGTTATTTTCCCCATTGTAGAATTTCTTTCATTGTGTGTTTGTTTCTTTTTTCACCTACTCTATAGTTGCGTCCCAGTAGTACAATTCATGCGTGTTTTCTTGTGGATGAACTTGTGGATCGACCTCCCATGTGCACTGTGCATAGCTCATGTAGTCATTGTGGCACTGCAAGGAATCCAGCACTGCAGAATCTGAAACAAGAGTTCAAATGTCAGTATTTTTTTCTTCAAAGCAGTCTTTTAAGTCTATTCCCCCCCCCAGATGTGTGGCCACAGGCAGGAACTTCCAGTGACTTACTAGACTGACAAAGCTCTGGGTGATCAGGTAAACTTAAAGGGATTTTTTTTTTCATTATTATTATTAGATTCTGCAAAGCTCTCAAGATTAGTTAGAAGTGAACTTCTAAAATCAGATCTTCAGAGCTGCTTTATACTGACCAATCAAAACCACGTCCTGAATTACAAGTGTCTGCAAAGGAAAATCTCTATTGACGTTTAGTTCGGTCTAAGATAAAGATTTATTTTGGCTGGGATAATACAATTTATATGTATGAGCCAGAACGGAGGCCCCAAGAAGATTAGAGAAAACACTGATAAGGGTCTATCTGGTGGACACAGGCCTGAACTAAACAGGTTGTATAAAAAAAGAATTGAATGCAATAATATCTGAGAGTGTTATCTTTCTCTCTCACCTTTCCCAGGCTTGACTTCATGATGAGGACACTTGTCATCACTGATGCCCCCCCTGACCAGCAGAGCGAATCCAACCATATGCAGAATCCATGTGCAGAACATTGTAGCTGAGATCCGAGATCAGAGGCCCGGCGCTTTTTACAGCAGGTGATTTTTCTGGTTACTTTCAAGATATCTGAATATTTAGAAACCAGTTCTGATGGTTAGAACCACTCGATTTAAAGGCACAGTTCACCCAAAAATGAAAATTCTGTAATAATTTACTCAACCTCATGTAATTTGGGCAAAGTCTGAAGAATGTTAACCTCACTAACTTTTCAAAAACACTGAACTGTTCTTCAAAATAGCTTTTTTTGTGTTCCACAGAAGGGAAAAAGTGATGCAGTATTGAAACATCACATGAGGGTGTGTTGTCAGTTTTATTTTTAGGTGAACTATTACTTTAAGAACCAATGTGACAAGACATCATGCTGTTATAAAAGCAAACACAAACACGTAGGTCTAAAACACACACCACAGACATGCATCTGAGAATTCTCATTGGTTTTAAGCACAAAACGTACTTCCTTTTTCCTCTCACACATTTATGCTAACAAAAACACATAGGCCTTCATTTTCCCCCCTCATTAAAAAACATTTTGTCACTGAAAGCCTTTGCATCAGTGTTAATTTTGACAGCAAATTTTGATTTAGTTTTAGTCATAGACTTTTGACTAAAATGCCATTTAGTTTTAGTCATATTTTAGTCATCTGAATTGTATTTAGTTTTAGTCTAGTTTTAGTCGACTAAATATCATAAGATTGTAGTCGACTAAATCTACAGTAAATTTAGTCGGCTAAAATCTAATGGGTTTAGTTACAGTGCATTTACTAAGCATTTCTCTAAAATTTCCAAACTCATTATATAGGTTTGATATTAAGGTTTTATCATGATAGACACTGATTTAACTGCGGTGACACACCACATGCCTTTATGTTAAAATTAAAGGGGTCATATGATGCGATTTCAAGTTTTCCTTTCTCTTTGGAGTGTTACAAGCTGATTGTGCATAGCTGAAATTGAAATTGAGAGAGAGAGAGAGGGTCACATCACAAACATACCAGCTTCATCACTCTGTCACGTGACTCTGTTCCCCTTTCGGGCTCTGTCTTTACATTTATTTTGAAAGATGAAGCTTGCGATTATGGTAAGGGGCGTTACATTTCCGACAAGTGCTTGCGGTGTGCGGCCAATCCCAATGCACTGGGTCAGCTGGCCAATCAGAGCAGACTGCGCTTGTCGGAAGGAGGGACTTTGTAGAAAACGAAGCGTTTGAGAGAGGCGGGGCATAGAGGACCTACAATAATGTACAGTATTTGAAAAATAATGTGTTTTTTGAACATTAAAGCATGTCAACATATTCTGTTACACCAAATACACAAAATAATGATCTTTAAAAAAAGCATCATATGACCCCTTTCAATAAAAACACTTCTCATAAAGAACACGAACATGGTCTTCTTTTTAATGAAATACCAATGGTTATAAAGGCTAATTATGCATTCTTTATAGCAACTTGTTTACCATATTCTTCATTCTTTCAAGCAGACATATTTATTTCTATGAATACATTTAGATTAATCTTTAGGGCTACTAAAGTTTTTCAGTCAAGAGAAGTGCGTGGTTTTCTGTCTTTCTTTTGTTGCTTGATTAACATCAATGACAAATTAGGCTGCTGTCCCTTTAAAACAGAATGCACTGCTGCAATGGACTGATACACATTCTCCTTACTGTTTACGTTCACTTAAGACGTAATCAACTGTGTTTACGTGAATACTCATCAAAACGAACAATTAGACATAATTTTGTGTGTAAATCTCCGTTCATGCGACGCGAAAGACTACTCGCGCGCTGTGTGTGTGTATGCTTCAGTGTCTGCGCTCAGAAAACCGGACCGAATTGAGCTCCCTCTTGCGTCGTCAGATTTATCCATATGTCTGCTCTTCTCTTACTCCCACATATTGACATTTTTTTAATGTTTTATGCGACATGCAGCAAGTGTATGTTAGCTTATGTCCCGCCGGTTCATATGTATGCATCTAACCTCCGAACCACGCAGCAGATTCGTTCTGAATGAATCTCTTCCCAAATCGTCCCTCCCTAACATTTGCGTCTCGTTTTTATTCGTTGATGAAAATGTCAATAGATTTACATCATAGTTTTTGTCATTCAAAAAGAGTTTTAGTTCGTTATCGTTATCGTCGGTGAAAAAAATTAACACTGCTTGGCATGATGCAAACTTAATAATTTTGTGTGTAATTCTCCGTTCATGCGACGCGAAAGACAACTCGCGCTGCGAGACGCGCTTTCTGTGTGTGCCCTTCAGTGTCTGCGCTCAGAAAACCGGACCGAATTGAGCTCCCTCTTGCGTCGTCAGATTTATCCATATGTCTGCTCTTCTCTTACTCCCACATATTGACATTTTTGTAATGTTTTATGCGACATGCAGCAAGTGTATGTTAGCTTATGTCCCGCCGGTTCATATGTATGCATCTAACCTCCGAACCACGCAGCAGATTCGTTCTGAATGAATCTCTTCCCAAATCGTCCCTCCCTAACATTTGCGTCTCGTTTTTATTCGTTGATGAAAATGTCAATAGATTTACATCATAGTTTTTGTCATTCAAAAAGAGTTTTAGTTCGTTATCGTTATCGTCGGTGAAAAAAATTAACACTGCTTGGCATGATGCAAACTTAAAGGTGAAGTAATTTTTGTGCCACCAAACAAAATTTTAAAACTAATGACTGTTTTCAAGCAAGTTCCGGAGCGCTCCTTCCGTCTACCATTGGTCTTACAAACAGATTGTTTCGCCTCAACCTCATATCATTGGTTGCGTAAGAAGTGATTTAACATTACACACTTCACTTTAAAAGTATTAGTTATTTTAAAATGTCGCAAAGCATCTAAAAATGAAAGAAACATTGCATATATTATAATTGCTTACTGTTTGTGACAAAAGCATGGTGACCTCCAAATCCATCTTTCAATGAAGAATTCAAAATCCATCTTTTAATGAATGGAGCACTTCCAGGAACAGGTGAACATCTTAAAAACTGCTGTAGATCTTCATACGGCACGTCTTGTATATAAAACTACTCGTTTGGGGTGAACCTGACCATCTACCCGTAACCTACTAGTGGAGCTTTGTAGCGTAAAAACAGATGTAGTACTGTATGTCGCACTACATTTCTCGCAACTGCCAGGAAACTGTAAAGAAAGGGATTTCCCTAAGCTTAAAAGAGGGTGGGGGGCGTTGGGGGAAAGAGATGTGGTCACACATAACACGTCCTGTCAGAAATTGACTTTAAACTGTGTTTAGTTTGTAAAAGTTAGTTATGTTGTTTTATGTTGATTTTAAGTTTACTCTTTCATTTAAAGGTTGCGTGGCGTAAGGTAGGTGTGCTATATTTAGCTGCGGTGAAGTACACACGTGCATGTAGGTGAATGAACACTGAAAAGGGCAGAAAAACTAAAACAGGTTTTACCTCACACCTTGTTCCTACAGTGAAAACTGTGTTTTCTCTATGACGAATCTTGGTGGTCTTGACTTGCGCATGCACTGCACTGCACTGCATTGCAAAATAAATAAATGCAACATGGTAAATTAGCTTGAAGGTAACTCATTTTCTGGAAATATATCTTGATTTTTTTATTCTTGTTTTAAGCACAATACTCTAAATATAGTTGTTTAGGCTTAAAAGCATAAATCTTAAAGCATTAATCTTGTGTTTTATTATTTTAGGTTAAATTGTGTAATTTCTCAGAGAACCTTTGGGATTAAAAAGTCTTCAGAGTGTAATTGTCTTTATCCTTTTTGGTTTCTGATTATCTGTTAATAATCTGTGTATTGATCAACCCAGCAGAGCTAAGGAATTAGCTTTTTCTTTTCATGAGAATCCCAAACCAGACGTTTCCTACTATAAAATGATCTATGATTTGGATTCCTTTTCCAGTTTTCAAAACCAATCTTCTGCTTTCACAACATAGACGATTATGATTATCTTTGATCCATATAAAGATCAGGATAAAGGTTATTTTTGATTTGGAAATCTAAATCTAATCTTTTGAAAATTGTGAGATTACCATTTCACGATCATTTCATCATTAATTAATTAATTTTTTTATAATGCATCTTATTGTATTATGACCTCAGTAAATTAGGGGATATATATATATATATATATATATAAATTATCACTTATCACTCACCTAAATTATAATATTATATTAGTGTACTATATTATATACTTTCTAATAATTCTGTAAACACCAGCAGATTATAGTATTTCATAGTCTTACTCATTTCATACCATATATTGTTTAACTTCAGTAAATGGCTGTATATAATTTCAGTAGCTCAAAGCCTACTCTGAAAAAAAACATTGAAAAATCAGTGAATTATAGTTTCATACTCCTCTAAATGTATATATTTGTTTAAAAAAAGTCCTTACCTGTATTTCTGTCACCAAGAAAGGCTTGTAAACATTCCATTCATCAGTGCTTGGATAAAAGTGAGTTTAACTTGGTCTGATGCAGTCAACTTCAAATCAGTATGCTTTCCTAGGCTGTGTTCTCATTACTGAAGTGCATTTGCACTCATGATATCATTTACTTGAACTACCTAAAAGCCAGAAGTTCCTTTTTTTTCTCTCAGTTGGGTAAAAACATTAGTTGCTTGGTCATCAGAAAAAGTCTTACCAAAGGAACAAGGTTAACATGCTGCTGAACAGGGGTGTAGCCATCATTTCATAAGTGAGGGGGACAGAAATGTTATATATAAAAAAAATAAAACTATGACCATTTCTCTATGAACCAGGGTTAAAGGTCGGTTGCTGGGCTGGCCCAAACAGTCATAGCTCAATCAGACTACAGGTCTTCTATTTCTTTTGGGGCAGTAAAGGACAGGCTGTGCTACCTCTCTGGCAGTATGATCTGTACTAGGATCTCCCCCTTCTAAACCAGGATCTGCCATTTCCTCTGGAATCGGATCTAGTAAGTTCTCCATGGCCTTCTTCAGTGAGTGTCGGCTCAGCAGCTTCTGCATGGGGTCTATCCAATTCACCTCCATGGTAAACTGTGTCCTCCTCCACAGCAAATTCATCGTGTGCATCACTCTATGGCCTGGGCTGTCTCTCTAGCCTGTTTGGGTAGTAATAGCACAGATCATCCTCCTCACTTTCAGACTCAGTCCTGGGTACACGTTCACTCAGTGCGACATTTTTTCTCTTAACCCTTTTCTTTGTTTTCTCTCCACAGGTCCTGTCCTGGTCTCCGGCAGTGCAGAAACTTTCCTGGGGTCTTCAGGAACGGACAACCTTACTTCACCCCCAACAGGTAAGAGATGATCTCTGTGTAAAGTCCTTACACCTCCCATCCCTGATTCAGGTTTCAGACGGTATACAGCTAAGTTATATAGCTTTTCTACCACCAGGTAGGGTACAGAATTCTATTTGTCGGCGAGTTTGTGCCTTCCAGTCAATGCCAGATTTTTTATCAGCACCCGATCTCCCACTGCTAGAGTCTGATGCTTCACTTGTTTGTCATACAATCGTTTATTCCTCTGTTGACTTTTGAGGGCAGTTTCAGTTGCTAACTGATAGGCTCTCTGCAACTCTGACTTCATTCTCTCCACATATTGGTGATGGTTACTGGCCCCCACCCCATCAGGCGACATTCCGTAACACAGATCCACTGGCAGACGAGCCTCCCTTCCGAAGAGCAGATAATATGGTGAATGCCCAGTGGCCTCGTTCTTAGTACAGTTGTAGGCGTGTACTAATCGATTAACATGTTGACTCCATCTGCTCTTCTCTGCAATATCCAGCGTACCAAGCATGGAAAGAAGCGTTCTGTTGAACCTTTCAGGCTGTGGGTCACCTTGGGGATGGTAGGGCGAAGTCCTTGATTTACGTATCCCAAGCATTCTCAGCAGCTTCTTTATGAGACCACTTTCAAAATCCCGCCCCTAGTCTGAATGAATACGGGATGGTAGGCCGCAGTGAACAAAGAATTTGTCACACAGTATCTTCGCCACTGTTAGAGCTCTCTGATCTTTAGTTACAAACGCTTGGGCGTAACGGGTGAAGTGATCTGTGATGACTAGGACATTACCCATGCCTCTTGAGTCGGGTTAAATTGACAAGAAGTCGATGCACACTAACTCGAAAGGCCCACTGCTGGTAATGTGATGTAAGGGTGCAACCTTCTTGGTTAAGGTCTTGCGTGCTATACAACGGCCACAATTCTTGACATAATGCTCAATATACGCAGACATTCTAGGCCAATAGAAGCGATCCTTCAGGAGTTCTGTAGTTCTCTCTACTCCTAAATGGCCTGAATCATCATGCAAGGAACGTAGGACTTGAGACCAGTACTTTTTAGGTAAGACGAGTTGTTTCTTTTCTCTCCCACAGGAACTTTTGGTGACACGGTGCAGAAGTTGGTTTTGGATCATCAGCTTGGGACCTTGACGTTGTAGCAGAGCAACAGTGGCATCGGAACTCTTAACAATGGTAAGTATTTTCCCAGACTCCACATCTCTCTTCACTCCACCAATTACAGTATCCTCCTCTTGTGCTTTCCTTAACTCAGCATGAGTCAACTGTTCCGTAAGGCTAATACCAAGAGCTGTAGGACATGAGAATGCCTCCGGAACACTCTGAGGTGAAACACCTAACTGGTCTACCAGTCGCAAGGATGACTCTTCACTTTCTGTAATTACAGCTAATTGACAGATGGCCTTCACCCCAGACTTAGGTATCTCTGTCCATCCAGAGTCATGGCTTGAGTCACATGGATAACGGGACAGCACATCCGCATCGATGTTGTGACTTCCGGGCTTGTACTGCAAACTGAAGTTGTAGGTTGATAAGGCAGCCAACCAGCGATGACCTGTCGCACTCAACTTGGCAGTGGACAAGACATAGGTGAGGGGATTGTTGTCAGTCTTCACCACAAACTGTGCGCC